CGTTCTGGCTGGATCTCAGAGGTCAGACCCGTGATTACCTGGTCCTGATTCAGCTTGTGCGGCGCCTTGTACTCGATTGCCGTCTTGGCGACGCTTTTGCCGCCCGACATTCCGTATATGCAGAAGTGGTCCACTCGATTGCCCTTCCCCTTCGCCTTCCCCTTCGCCTTCGCCTTCCCCTTCGCCTTCCCCTTCGCCTTCGCCTTCCCCTTCCCCTTCCCCTTCCCCTTCCCCTTCCCCTTCCCCTTCCCCTTCCCCTTCCCCTTCCCCTTCCCCTTTGTCTTGCTCTGAACCTTATGAGTGGGTGCCGTCGAGGCCGACGCCGGATCACCAGCATCACCTTGACTGAGGGACTTGTCTTCCAGGGACTCAGAGAGACTATGATCGTTGTTGCCAAGGTTTGTGTGACTCTCGAACGTCACTGTTCCCCGCAAGCCAAGGCGGTCTCGCAGTAGTGGATTATCGTTCACCGCATGAATTAGCTTCTGCACCGCGTTTTCGACTGTGTCGCGCTCGAAGTACTGAAGCCCATGCTCGCTGCTAATAGGACGGACTACAGACATTACGTAGTCCATCTGATTTTGGGATGGGAATTGATGCTGGGAGGTGAAGGATGGCTCTGAGAGTTGGTTCCATATCTCCTCTTGTCTCGCTGGGAAATCATCCCACGGGATGATTCGTTTGGGATAAATTCGACCGACAGGATTAGTCGGGACGTCTTGCGTAGTCTGAGAAGGATCAGTGACTACCTGGATGGCAAGACTGAGTGAATGACAAGCCTCAAGATAAGGCATAAGCGTCAGTGGTCGTGAAACCTGTTCTGCCTCTTCACGTCGGCGTTGCTCATCGAGAGCGCGACTCTCAGCCTCTTGGAGTCGAGCTTGCTCATCGAGAGCGCGACTCTCAGCCTCTTGGAGTCGAGCTTGCTCATCGAGAGCGCGACTCTCAGCCTCTTGGCGTCGAGCTTGCTCATCGAGAGCGCGACTCTCAGCCTCTTGGAGTCGAGCTTGCTCCTCTTGGAGTCGAACTTCCTCCTCTGCAATCAAACGTCGCAGGTTCTCGATGTCGTCCATTGGGGTGGAATCAGGGCGTTTCGAGAGTGCAGTTGTTGATCAGGATGAGTTAGGACAGTTCTGGATTGGTACGGATGAGCATGTAGTACTAAGGATCTGGTGGAGTACGGCACAGCCAGAAAATAAATGAATTAGTTGTAAAGATGTCGGTGATCAAAGGTACTGAACTGGAGTGTCCGACCCCTCTTTTATACCTCCTGAGGGTGGCTGTAAGCACCTTCCTCACCAACCCAGTAGCTGCTTGAAGTAAGAATTAAAGTTAACCTAACAAACTTAAGGCGTGTTTTTTTGGTTCAGCAAAGAGCTACTAAATGCCATACAAGGCAATGGACCATGCTAGTACCTTTGTCGCGGTTTGCCTAGGGGATGTTTGGCAACATTCAGCAGGATTAAACTTATAGGGCGGTAGGAGGTACCTACTTACACGGTTAATGCTTTTTAGTGGAGTAATTCGGAATTTCTAGTTCTGCTTTTGTAGAATTCAACTGCCTCGAAACTGCTATATGACTGAAACTCCATATTCAGCGAAATAATGCTTAGGGGATGGTCATGGAAAAAAAGCAGGATTATGCTTAGGTCTGTGTTATCCTAGCAAAAAAGCTGCTTTACATAGCAATCGCTTTTGCTGGCTATGCTATTAACCTAAATTGTTCGTTTAAACATTTAACTTTTAACCTTACGATGTTGAATTGATTGCTGACTTTTTACTTTTTATGTTATTAGGGCTTGTGCTTATTGAAAAATCTCACGATAGTTTTTAGTGTTTTAGTATGTACATTGCCTAATTTTGCGTATAAACCTGTATATTAACTAGTTAGTTAAATTAATTAACAAGTAACCTTTATAACCACTATAATTATTACTTTATTGCAGGTATTTTATTAATTTGCAATATTTATTTTTTATAATGGAGGTCGTGGTTATATAAGGTATGTTGTAATAAAAGCAATAATAGCTAATAAGGGATTTAAAAAGTATTAAAAAAAGGTTAATTAACTTTTTTAATTGGTTATAAGGCTTTTTTAGCGGTTATAAAGGAACTTAGCTCTTATAAAAACTTATTAAATGGTTTTTAAACCTTTTATAGCTTAAGTTGTAAATGGCTTTATTTATAGTAAAACGTATAACTTAAAATAAAAAAAAAACATTAAATAAGCTGATATTTAATGGCTAGTTAGCTTAAAAATTTACTAAGCCATTTTGCGTATATTTATTAAATTAATTAATGTGGGGATTTAGTAGCACTTTTTTTAAGAAATTATATGGGGCTTAGCTGCTTTTTACCGTGAACGCTTTATTGAATAAGCAGCTTGTGGGTATTAAGCATGGTGTTGCTAAAGTGCATGACCACCCCCTTATTTATTAGGTGCATCGCCGATAAAAAATTTAGCGAAACTAGTGCGCTGACTTTTAGCTCGTGCGTAAGTCACTATATAGCCCCACAGATACATGTCGGAAAATCCCCCCTGCTCGTCGAAGTCACTGGCACGGGCCATTGCCCTTTAAGGATTCAGCACCTTTTTTGCTGAAGTTGCCAAACATCCCCCTAAAGTTGCCGAACAGCCCCTAAGCATACGTGTAAAAGGTTTATGCACAATCTCCACAGTAACAGCTGCTAGGCAGCAGTGGAACTGTGACAATACAACCCACACTTCAACCCCTCACGCCAAGGCCGTCATACCCTCAGTAATCATGCCTTTAACTCCTATACGTTAAAGCAAAAATGGCTCGGTAATTCGGTATTAGCTAAAGAGTTTGCTAAACTTTAAACACAATAAGATTAGGTAAATGTTGGTATGTTGGTATGCCTTATGGGCATATGAACGTACGTAAAAAGGAAAACATAATAACAAATAAAAGGGTTGGAGACTGGTGTATTCAAGTGTCTCTCATAAAAGAACTATTTAGTTGAAAGGTTAAAAGCGTTACTAACCCTTTTGTAGTCCCTTGAAATAACTAAGGTCATGGGGCCCTTAGTCATCATTTATGATATAACCAACACTCACTTTATTTTCTTTTATAATGAAGTCATTATAAACCATTCCATTTACTCCATCTATTCCATCCATTTTATCCCTTGTATTTAAGGTCCGGTAAACTCCTTTGCTAATATTAAACCACCAAGCCATTTTTGCCTTGACATATAAGAGTTAAAGGGTTAATTACCGAAAGTATAACGGCCTTAACGTGAAAGGTTAAAGTGTAAGTTATATAAAGTTAATGTAAAAAGGTTATATAATATTAAAGGTTTTATAATTGTTTAATTTATTGTTTTTAAGCTATAATAAATATAATAATAATATTAATGTTATTATTATTATATTTTATATTGTTATATTTTTAAATAAAAATATAAAATATTAATAATAGTTTTTTATATTTATTTTAAATTGTTATATATTTAGTAATATTAATTAATATAAGTATATATATATATAATAAAAAAAACATAATAATAAAAAATAAAAAAACAAAAACTGGTATATTTAAATGTTTTTAATAAAAGAACTATTTAATTAAAAAGTTAAAAACATTATTAACTTTTTTATAATTTTTATATAAAATAATTAAAGTTATAAAGCTTTTAATTATTATTTATAATAAACTTATTATAATAATTTATTTATATATAAAATATATAATTATTTTTTTATTTTTTATTATATAACCATTAATAAATAAATAAATAATTTATAATAATTTTATTATAAAAAATAAAATAAATGTTAATTATATTATAAATAAATAATTAAAATTTTTAAAGTTTTAATTATTTTATAAAAATTAAAAAAAAGTATTAATTAATGTAAAATATAGCAATATAAAGTAATATTATAAATATGTAAAAAAATAAAAAAGTGTAACGTTAAATATACAGCTACGCTGCACATTAAATATTATTATTTTTTTATTTTATTTATTAATGTTAATATTAGTCTTTATTTTATTTATATAGGGTGTTATGCACCTTTTAATATATAATGATTACATTAAAAATATATATTTATTTTTATTATATAATTATTAATAAAAAATAAATATATTTTATTATTTTATAAATTTAATTTAATTTATTATAAAAACACGTTTTTAATAAATAATGCAAAATGTGGCAGTATAAAGTAGTATTATAAGTATGTAAAAAGATGAGAAAGTGCAACATTAAATATTGCTATTTTTTTATCTTATTTATTAGTGCTAGTACTAGTCCTTATCTTATTTTATTTATGTGGGGTGCTATACACCCCTTAATATATAGTGATTGCATTAATAAAAATAAAGTTTATTAAATAAAGTTTAAAAAAATAAATAAAAAATAAACTTAAAAAATTATAAAAAAATTATTAAAAAATTATTATAAAATTAATAATAAAAATATAATTAATTGTTAAAAAAGTTTATTAATATATAAAATTACATAACTTTATTAAACTTAATAAAACCGTGTTAATTTTTAACGTTTAAATAAATTTATTTAATTATTATATATTATAAACCTGCATTTTATATAAAATATAAAATAATTAAAATAATAATTTTTTAAAAAAAACTTTATATTAATATGTTAATAATATAAAAAAAACTTTAATAATTAAAAAAATACCGCTTTAATAAAATAGTGTTAACAGCTGGTATATGCAGCCACCTATTGTGGAACAAACACACTAGTGTACAGTGTAGCAAACATTTATGTATTTAAACCGTAGCAGTGCTCCATGGTACGCACCTTTGCTCTTAGATAGTTACAACACACAATTCACTTGCCGAATTCCCTGATTAGCTGTAATTACTGTGCGAAGGCCTCCACAAGCCTTCAAATAGGTTTAATATATAAAAGGTCAGCGCTAAAAAAAAAACCTAACCATATATTTAAAGAAAAGGTCGCTGTAATTCTAAAGCCCCCTTTCAAGGCTTAAGAATTGCAGGAGGCCACAGCAGAATTCGAACCTACGCACTGGTAGTTTCCACACCACAGTGAGCCAAACGCTTAACCACTGCGCCATAAGGCCGTGGTCTTTGGGGGTCTTTGCGTAGGTTCGAACCGTAGCTTCGTTGGCCAAACCTAAAATAGCCAAGCCTATCTAACAAACGCAAAAAAACAACCAAATACACTAAAACAAAACATAAGCGTAAAGCAAAGCAAAAAAACAACTTAATAATAATTACTTCATTCTCCACGTAATATCCTCATATTCGTACCGTAATTAAGGCAGTAAGCGGGAATTTTTCAGTCCAGCAATTGGGCGAAAATGCCTCAAAGTTGTTGTTACAGGAGGCAAGAAGTGGGTGGGGCCTAGCTGGGTTGTAGAACCTACTCAACTTGACAGCCTCGATGGACACCGACTCCAATGTGTGACGAGACCTCCATTTTACAAATTACTTAAAAATAAGTGTAGCTTGGTCAGTGGAGGATATAGATAACTGTGAGGGAGACCTGGGTAAGGTGGTGTGGCCGGAAGGGTTTGAGCCGATCAGCGAGAAGGGGGCATTTAGATTCGAGTGAGAGACAGCTAAGTGGTGTTATGGTGTTGGTGTAGTTTGTGGACTTATAAGTCTATTGGATGAGACTTATGTTAAGTTTTCCAGGAGTTACTATTATAAATCGACTGTGAGATGGTGTATGGAATAGGTATGTGGTATTAATATATGAGGTGGTTTGGCAGTGTAGCATAAATAGGGATACAACTTCTTCAAATCAAGAAGGAGGACTCAGAATGTAAAGGCTCAATCTGATGAAACTCCATATCGATGTTACACTGGCTTCATATTAATGATTATTCTTCTCACAACTTATGGCTGGAGTTTCCCCACTCAACCCCTATTTCAAGGATCAATACCTATCTAGGCTTGCAGAGATGCTCAAGTTAGACATCATCATTCTAGGTATCTCCCTACACTTAAATAATCCCCTCATATCATTGTACTGCAAGTCTGACCTCAACCTCCCCATCGACATTTCGATCAATGACAAAGTGAGTAGTTTCCTGGCCCTCGTCAAACATGTCGCCATCTTTCAAGTATTGGCCAACTAGCGGATCCGCTACCAATCTCTCCACGGCTAGAAAAATGCTGCGTGCGCCAGTCTGCTTATCATACTCCTCGTTCGCTATCGTGGAGCACACTGATGCATCGTTCTTGATACGCATGCTAATGTTTCCAACGTAGACATCTTGGTCTTTGTTGAGAGCTAGATGGACTCGTCGGGCGAGTTCGGTCTCCAAGTCCATCAACGCTTTATGAACTATAACAGCAGACTCTGGTGCCGCGAAGACCAGGAAAGGTAAGATTTCCGTGATACGACCGCCTAAGGGTGCGCCGAAGTGCCCAACAAATTCCTTCCGGAGCTGGCGGCAGAGCTTCTCCACCAGTTTGTCTTGAGCATCCTCGTCTTCTGAGTAGAAGAGCACCTGCTCGTTGGTTTTACAGAAGGCTTGGATGACACCATCCAGCTGATTCGTAGCGAGAATCCAAATGGACTTGGAACAGTCAATACTCTTCCCAGTGCGGCGATCTTCATACTTGCCTTTTGGACTTATGTTAGTATCATATAAATATTAAGGAGGTATTGAGTTCACTGACCGTCTTGGAAAGGTAGTAATAATGTATTCTGAATGTCTTTGCTCGTTTTTTCGAACTCGTCCATGAAGACAATACACCGTTCTCCCGCCTTACGAACCAAGAAATTGTTCAGAGCAGAGCCGTTCTCATTTCCAGAAAAAGGAGGACGCGGTCCGAACAATTCGACATCCTGCTTGACATTGGTGCAGTCTACTGTATGCGATTCTAGTGACATTAGATCACGGAATCTTTGAGCTAGCTCCGTCTTCCCATGGCCACTAGGGCCTGCGAAAACCAATACCAGTGGCTTATTTTTCTGTCGAGCCAAGTAACTTGTAATACTGGTTAGCTATAGACGGTATGTTTCTATGGTATCTCAGACTCACGCAAGTAGCTTCTTTTGAAGCCAACGAGTAGCGATTGATTGGGCAACGATCATTTGGTGAAGGCCCAAAACTTCCTCAGCGCCCTGTCGAGTGAGCAGCTCTTTCTCACGGCCAGAGTGCGGTTGGATCTTGCTAGCTCTATAGAGATCGTATCTCTGGGAGAGGCTCAGGGACCTAGCAAGATGTGCACCCGCATCCGTTGTACACCACTTCTTGGGGGCGTCGTTGTTGTCGAGTTCTTCCTCAGTTGGCCCGTCATTCGGCAAATCCCGGCTATATGGGTCATAGAAGAATTTAGGGATGGCTCGAGGGTCTGCGCCAAATCGCAAAAGGGTAGCGAGTGTTCTTGAGGCCTCAGCCATGGTCCGTCCCCCATTCAGCACAGAAAACGCGATCACTGGAAAGGCATCGGGTCCCCATGTCGTATTTGGGTCGCCCCCATGCTTGATCCACTCTCTAATGATGCCAGAGTTATTCGTCGAGACGATGTAGAACATTGCTGGATACCCATCTACGTCGGCATTCAGCTGCACATTTAGAATTTCCCCGCTATAATAGCCTAGATACTTGCGGAGGCTGTCAGTATCAAATCGACCCTCCTGGACTGCAGCAAGGATCTCGCCAACGTCTACGACAGTTGAGTCGCGAGGACCAGTGGTGTTGAATCCATCCGGAACCTGTAGGATTGGTAACTTTGGCATCCACGGGTAGTCTTTATCAATGATCTCATATTGGCTTTCTACTTCATTAGCTGTGTCGCTCCCGACCTGATTATTGTCATCATGATCCAGTTGGCTCTGGGCGTCATCGTCATCGGATGGAGGGTCTGGTGGCATGAATTTCTAACCAAAAGTTAACTAAATCCTTGACAATAGTAGGAGAGTCCCGAACCGCAATGTCATGGTACAAATCTTTGGCCTTATCAACATCATTTCCACAACGCTATAACTTGTCAATATTCTCAACATCGTCTTGAATGGTGCAGATAATCTGACCTCCAAGCAATGTCTTGCTATATCTTCAGAACACCCAGGATACTGAGTAATAATCTGACGCACACCCTCATCTAGTGCATGGGAAGGCATGATGTTCGGGTTGTAGGATGTTGATTTTAAGAGTGGATTAAGTATGCAGTTCAAAGCAACTAAGGAGGGAGTTCAAGGATCATACTGCCACCTTAAGTATTATATGATTGCCTCTTCAAGCTTTCCAAAGTCAGAATACGGATCCATAACATGGCTTTATTTCATGTCAGTGCGTTGTTAGTTCTACTTAGATACTGTCTTGACTCAGTCGGCTAGTTACATATATGAATGTTGGAAGCTGGTTAATGCGGCCACCAATTGTGGATAGATGGAACAATGGAGTAACCTATTGTTGAAGAAACACGCCAGCGTACAGTGTAGCAAACTTCTATGTACCTAAGTATTTAAGCCGTAGCAGTGCTCCATGGTACGCACCTTTACTCTCAGATAGTTACAACACACAATTCACTTGCCGAATTCCCTGATTAGTTGCAATTACTGTGAGAAGGTATCCACCAGCCTTCAACGAACAATGGTAGCTTGACAGCCTGAAACTCACCGATACAAACGAACTGGACTATACTTCATAAAGACCTCAGCCAGTCAGCATTATTCGATGTTATAGAATATGATGGCGAAAGAAGGGAAATGCTGTCATTCTACTCTTCCTATATTATCCCATTGCATGGTTGATTAAGGCAAGGAAGCCTATATCAAGCACAGAGCCTATATTGCTTCTATTTCTAACTGGGCATTTCTACAACGGATAAGGTTAGTAGTTGCTAGATATATTTGGAAAAGGTGTGGTAACCCACCTTCACTTCGATGGTGTGCATGTTTGGTTCCCGATTCCTGTTTGCATTGTCTTAACTAGGATTATATCTGATCAGTACTTCCACACTGTGTCTAGGAGGCTAACGTTTCTGTGTGATAGGTATTTTGTCAAGTATCCAAGAAAGAGGCCTTTTTCTTATAAGGTCAAGGGAGCTTCCTCCCCAGTGGGAGTATTTCTGTATCTGGGACCATCCGGATATTAACCAAAGTATCCTTCTTGAACAAGAATTTACTCGTTATTGCCATATTTGCCACGATCATACATATGCTACCTACTCTAGAGCCTGTTTGAAAAGAATCATGGAGAACAATAACGCACCTCGAATGCCACTTGTGGCGTCTTTAAACACGAAGATGACCATGTCAACCACCTCATCGACGTCTCAACGGTCAAACGTCCCTACAACAGACCCGTCTGAGGAAAAATCAGATACCGCTAAAACAACCGAAACGTCTCGATATTCTACATCGGTAGATTCTAATCACGTCACTGTGACCCCACGGACTCAGACTTCAATATGCGGTCAGTCTTTGTCAGACACACGGCGTGATATATCTCGCAGAAGAGAACAAGCGTTGAGTGTACAGCGGATTGAACTAGCAATTCAACTCAGTGATAAACACAAGATGTGTGTTGATTTGGAAGCTCAAATCATCAGTCTCAAAGATGAATTAGCTGGTTTCACTTTTAGGAACGAGGCGCTTGAGATTGAATGTACCAGACTTCATGGAATTCTCAATGATGCAAACCAACAACGTGAATGTCAGGCTATCGATGCGGCTCAACGAGAGAAGGCTATGCGGGAAGAAATCGTTGAGTTGAAGACAAGGCTTGATGAAACAACCAAGAAGCTCGAGAAGTCGATCGTAGATCACCACATACTTCAGGAGGCGTATGATGATGTTCTCGAGAATTGGGTCCGACAGTCCGACCAGGTCGAGAAACTGAGCCAGGAGCTAGAGACATGCCAAACCAAGCTATACGACCTTACTCTTGCGCACGACGAGCTAGGTAAAAAGCATCATGAGGTGATTAAAACTATTTCCAATATGGAGAAGTCACACGAGTCACGCGAACGTGACCTCCAGCAACGTCTAGGTTCCAAAGGTGCCGAGGCTAAAACCCTCAAACGGGAAATTGACACCCTCCGCTCTGCTTGTGCGGACGCTGTCAAGAAAAAGGACAATGCAGAGAGGCTTCACGCA